TAAATATAACTTTAATAATATGCAGAACGAAAATTTATATAACAACGATAAAATTATTGATAAGTTCATAAAAGTTAATTTGAATGACGAAAATATTAAAATATGTTTAACTCTATACCGTATACTATAAAAGCCACTACATATCAACACATTATAAGTATTATTATAACATTAAGTATTGCATAAAATAATTAATATTAAATTGAATATCTAAAATTTAACTTACAAATGTGAAAAAYTTTGATTTTTCTAACGGCATGCGAAAAGCTGGAGGTACATATTTTATGTTCGATGTTGCCAAATCAATTTTGTTGGTTATAAAACCTACACCAGGGAAATGGTTGACCTTTAAAAAAAACAAATACACATTTTAGATGTACACATCAAACTATAAATAAACCAGCGATCAACATGGATATTTAAGACGTGAGTATATTTTTTGAAGCATTATTATACCTTTTTAAAACATTGTTTTTTTTCATGATACTTATAAGACATTAMAAATTAGAACAAAAAAAATGCATGTAAATAATATATTGCCAAAAACATCAAAGTATGACCTTAAAACAATCAAACATCACATTGTAAAATTCATTAAAAAATGTATTACTATAATAATAGCTAATTTTTTTTTTTTATTGGATAATATTTTTGGAAATGTTGCATTAAATCAAAAATATAAAATAATGATTTTCAACGTACATRATAATTTAATAATTTACAAAATGGCAAAACGAATGGCTTAAAATGAAYACTAAATAAAATGAAATAAAAAGAACAACAGAAAAATGGAATAACCCAATGCTTGTCAAAAGAAGAGACGAAGTTGTATTAAATCGCCTCAAAAGAGGTCACACAAACTACACACATGGCCATCTAATGAGAAAAGAGCCACCAAGAACATGCCTAACATGCAGATATCCGACCTTGATCAAACACATCATCACTGAATGAAGAGACACACAAGAAGGCCAACAAAAATACAACATACCTAAGCAACTGAAAGACGCACTGGGCTCCAACGAAGAATCCATCCAAAATGTATTATTATTTATGAAAAATATAAAATTGTACAATCATCTAGCTTAAAATATTTAAGTATCTACCATTAGAGTATCAAGGGTTCCTTCTTATTAATAATAATTTTAAAAAATAAAAATAATTTCCAAAAATATACTAATAATATGCTATAATATAAAAAAATTATAATTT